AAAAAAACAAAATATAATATTGTATCTAATCTTTATATTATATTGCAAATATACAATTTAATTGATAAATAACTAAATTCTTCCTTGACTTTCTGATCCATTGCAACATATTTTTCACATAATTCTAATACGCGGTCCAAGTCTTGTTGAGGGATGCACACCACTCCATTCAAATCTGCAATTATTATGTCACCAGGATTGATTCTAATTTGTGGATCATAGTTCCCATTTAAAATAACCGATTCATTAAAAGATGTTGGACGAGTAAATGCTTTGGCCGATAAAACCGAAACAGCTTTTGCAAAAACCTTTAATTCAATAGATCATATCCAATGATTAACTTATCAAATTTGACATAAAACAATGTGATATCAAATCGTTTGAATGTAAGCACTTACCGGTAGTCCATCACCTCGGAGTTCTTCAAGATCTCGAACGCGACCATCCACGACAACTCCTTTGGCTCCACGTATTTTAGCTCTTGTATTCATCAACCCTCCCCATACAGCATTCACAGTGTCTAATTAAAATTTATAATTCATGTTTTACAAACAAGAAAATAAATCATATGCAATTTACATATAAAGAAAAATCACAAACTTGGTGGCGCAGACACAAAGACAACACTATTTGCCGGAACGGCATCTGCCTATCAAAAATAGTCAGTACTTAAATATTATAAAAATAAAATAAGAATATATATGCTTACAAAATGTTGGCTTGGCTTTGGAGAAATTACATCGGATACGGGAACAAACTATTTGAACAAACAACTTTAGAACTTTGTGTCAATAAAATCTAGATAGAATTACAAATAAAAATATATATATTCACTTTTACAGTAAAAACTGGTCCGATTAATTTTGAATTTCTATCCAGATACTCTGGAGAAAACATAACAATGTCGGGCAAAAAACCTCCATAAGGATTGTTTATCTTGAGAAGCGCATCGGCGACCTGAAAATGTACCCGTTTTATTTTTAGATACGTTTTAACCAATTCTATATTATCTATTCATATTACACACATCGCAGCTGCTAAAGGCTTCTAATTGCTTAAGCTTTTCCTCAAGATTCCTTTCAAGAATTTTTTCAGACATTTTTTTTTTTTTTGTGATAATGAAGCTTGAAAATATCATTATCGTTATTGTTGATATTCCTATTATGGAAAGGTGGCGTGTTCAATTTTTTTCATTGGTATAAACTTTATAATTTCAGCCAAAAGTTTTTTTTTCAATTATCATGTGGCTAGGTTGTATGAGCTGCAAGAAAAGAAACATATTAAAATTACTAAAAATGGTTTGTTCATTGAATGCGCTGTCATGCTCTGTCATGCTCCACCTTACGGGAGATAAGACTTTATGATTATCTTGATCATTCAAAACTGAAACAGTATGAAAGATCTATACCAGTAACTGGGCGATTATTTATTTCCTACTTTGTGTTATTTAATAGATCAGGCTTGCCAGATTCTACACTGATTACTTTATAGTTTACCAAACCGCTAATTTTGGCTGAAGAAAATATTACGTAAAGTGAATTAGATTCTTAATGTACTGCATAAAAATTCTAGGTTCAGGTTTCACAATGAAGTTAACAATAGAATAAATAAAATAAATAAATAATAAATAAAATAACAATCATAATTTCAGGTAATATCGTAATACCATATATCGATCGATATACGCCATGGACTGTCCCGGAAGCTCTTACTTCGTCCGAATCGGTTTTCGTGGTTAACAACCTTATTGACCTATTTGTTCAGAAAGAAAGTTCTGGAAGATCTCTGCTTTTCTGTTTCAAATCGGTAATGATTTCAGTGGATGGGCTTTTTTGTTATTCATTTAACGAAGATGAATGAATGCAAAGAAAATCAATAAATATGTTGTGACATGATAAGACTAGGTTAACGTGTAGTACTACGTGTCCAAAGCCTATATCATAATGATTATTGTATAACGAAAACGAGTTCTTTTTTTTTTACACTTAAAACCATAGACACAAGAACTTTAAAAATTACATTTTTGGTGCTAAAATATGATTAACTACGAGGCGAATTAAAAACATACCTTTGTGCTTGTCATTCTGGTTATATTGACACTCTCCAAAAACAAATTGCCCGATATGTCCAGATGTTGGTTTAACCAGAGGCATTTTCATATTATATATATGCAAGAACTAGAAAGATATATATATATATATGTTCAAATATATAAAAAATGTCGGTATGCCATAGCGACGTGTATATAACTTTATAATTATTTTAATACGTTCTAGACAATGAATTGCAAATCTATATTAAGAATCTTAAGTGCAGGACATACGTATAATCTTTTACATAGTAGCCATTACATAAATAATCCATCTCTTTTATTGTTTCCTAATTAATTCTTATAGTAAATCCTGGCGCAGCTTACTATGAATTTACCATAAATCCATTACGTTATCTATAGATTTTCTTTAAATAAATACAATTTTAAAAAACATACAGTGCGGGACAGCATAAATCTGTACCTCTTTATATATACTTTACAAAAAACGAAATAACTTAAAAAAAAATTAAAAACTTTTTTTAGCCAATTTGCAGATTTGTAATCTACAATTTGGCTGAAAAAAAAATACGTATATTTTTTGTTTTATATAATTTTAAGTTACATCAATTTAAAGTTTATAAGAATTTGATATTTCTATTTATTTCCTGATTTTGAATAAATCCGGGTTCATTTTTTTGAACAACGTATCGATATATCCGGATTGAATACAAATCTCAATATATTTAAATCCGGATTTAAAATAAATTCGGATTTACTGTCATAAGCAATAATTCTCTTGATTGGCTAATTTTAGGAAATTGCTACCAACACAGCAAATACGTGATCTAATTCCCTAATTCTGCCGTATTCTGGTCATTAGCTGTGTTGGTAAGGTTGCGTTGGTAGCAATTTTATAATTTTATATATTATTTCCTAAAAAAAAAAACCCATATAACAAAGCTTATAAATAAACTATATATATACAAGAAAATTAATTAATCATATGGGCTAGGTGCTGGAAAAAGGGCCGAAAATGACAAAATAAAAGATTTTCAGAAAATCAATGTTTGTGTTGCAAATCTTATAATAGATTATAAGAAAATACAAACTTTAAAGAGCTATACTGCAAAATTTTATTAATACAACTACCTTTGTGTCTTAAGTAAAAAAAGATCCTAACTTTATTCTAAATTGATTTATATAAAAAAATCTATTTTGAAAAAATTGTCATTTTCGGACCTTTTTCCAGCTCCTAGCCCATATATAATATATACAGTATATATAATATATAAATATGTATATAAAATGGAATAAAAATAATATATATTTATTAGGATTTTGTTAATTATTACAAACTGTAGTAATATTTACCATTGTCTCAGTATCCAGGGTCTTATTCAAGAACTTCATTTTTAAAATTAATTATATAGTATCTGTGTATGAAAAACCAGATACTATATTTGTAGAGATATATCATACAGTATTAAATGTAGTAAATCAATATAGTTGTACCCCGGTTTTATTCAAGAAACAAGCCGGCAGAGGTGGTAATTAAGATCTGGTTTTTAATCACAATGGCATTATTTTTGGTAAACAGTAGTCAACGGTATTATGGATCTATTAATGATTAATCAAATTATAAACCAAATTTTATTTAAAAAACAAATTTAACTATAATCTAATACATATTATCTGGTTTAGTTGTAATTAGGCCTTGCATATGCTCGTGCCCGACAGAAGGCACAGACATAAGCATGGGCATAAATGCAAGATATCTGATATAAAGTTAATAAGTATATATTTTTAAAACACAGATACAATGTATTTGGCATATGTTAAACATTTTGTATTATAAGTATAAAAAACCAATTCTAAACTATCAGGTACTAACATACAAAGTATCTGTTTTAAAAATGCTTAAAACATTACAAATAATATTACAAGTATTAATATATATTAAATATAATATATAATCATAAGCATTTGCAGATTTTAGTTATTTATCAATTAAATTGTATATTTGCAATATAATATAAAGATTAGATACAATATTATATTTTGTTTTTTT